CCAGCTCTCAGCCTTGTGCGTCTGTGTGTTCATGCTCTGCACACAAAGCCACACATTTTTGTTCAAAACCAAGACTGTGCATGTGTGAGATAATGCGTGTAACTGTCAAACAAAGATTGGAATAAGTCTTTCCATCTTTGGTGTGAGAATTGGGGAAATAAAAGGATGTAATCCAGTGGATTTGGATGTTGGGTGATGAATAATGAACAGTCCTTTAGTCTCTTGTGTATTGATTAACTTTATTTTTTTCATCACATCATAAAGAATTTAGCTCAAACATGAAGTGAGAGCCAAGAAGGGAGTGATGAGTGGAGCAGAGATTAGAGAAAGGTGAGAAAACAAGGGAGATAAGTAAGAGGAAAGGGGAGAAAGTTATAGAAATGAAAGAAATAAAAAGTCAGAATTACCTTGAGTTAAGTGTAAAATGATTTATTTTCATAATTAGAGAAAAATACGAAGTCAAACATATCATGTCATTGCTAATTTCCTGTCATTGTCTACCCTGTGTGAAACTGAAAAAAGATAAACAAAAGATAACAAAGATAGTGTGTGTCTGTGTGTATCGGAACCAAATGGCCACATGGTTTGGGTGAAGGCTGTAATTTGTAATATGGCTCAGCCAACAATGGCCTTGGCTGAATTCTTGAAAATGTTATGTTTGATGTGTCCAACTCGTCCTTTCATGAAAGGGTGACACAGTGGTTCCAACTTGTGAAGCATTTCCACATGCTTTTTTGAAAGTCAGTAGGGATTGCCAAAGCAGATGGCTCAGTGTCCCATCAGTGCTCTTGTGACCCTATTTTGGGTAATGGTACAGTTTTAGGCTCACCCAACAAGTCCCTTGGCAATTTTTATTGAAAATGTCATGTTGGGTATGTCTGACCCATTGTTTTTTGAAGGTTATGTGAGAGTTAGAACAATAATATAGAAGCTAAAAACTATTCTCTATGTTAGGATATAGTGGGGTCATGGTGTCACACTCCCTCTGCCTGTGTTGCTATCACAGCCCTCTTTTTTTCCACTAAACCAGAGATGTCACTTCCTTTATAAAGAACTGTGACTGAAGCATGCCAATAGCACACACTACAGACAAACAAAGTAGTCATGGTATGGCAGCCAGGGTTTGCCCATCTTGGAAGTGAATGTGAGAAAAAATAGTGCCAGGAAATAGGACAACTGCTGTATGTAACGTTTAGCCTACCAGGATGTGTTAATATAGAGTCCTGTGTCACAAGCTGCTTTGAATTGCCCTTTACTATCAACCTGTGGGAAACAGAGATTATTGTCATCTCTCCATTCTTTCATTTCTCTTGTGGTTTTTGTGCTTTTGAAACCAGGCTTTTCAAATGAGTATCAGATGTTTGTAGCCAACGCCAATAGTCCTGTTTCATAGAAAACACGAAGGACATCAACACAACTTACACATATAGTAATTCCAGAGACATAGATAGGCTTTCAAACTAACGGCAATGACCAGTGTGGAGAAGGGAGGTAAGAGACAAAAGGTGTTCTACATAAACTCTTCAGCTAGCAGAATGTGGTCACCAGACACCACCCAAACAACAAACAACCCGTACTGACTACAGAATTATTAAACATTTTACTGTAATGTAAGGGAAAGAGTGTTGTTTCAGTTAAATCTTGATAATTACATCATGCCCCAGGCTTCAAATCACTGTTCACTTTTCCCTTAATAAACCAGTACCATGATCTTTACTAACCATGTGCTGTTGTTGCCTAAATCTAACCACAGACAGGCCTCAGGATGCAAACCCTGGTCTCTGCTGTCAAAGTTCTCCAATCTGTACCCCGATAACATCTCTGTGACTCCTGCAGTATATAAATGTAGTAGCCTACTTTATTTACTGTATAAACACAGGCACAGGTCGTTGAGAAGCCAGCCAGTTAGTAATCAGTCAACATCATTTCTAGGACAGTGTTGATAGGTTCCAGTGGAGTCTGACTTTAGCCTTGCTGGTTTAATTTAAATTATATGCAGTGTGTCTTAAGTTGATTTTTTTTTTTACTTTGTGAAGGTTATAATGATCAGTTTTTGTTGAAACTGCTTTAGAGAGGTTTTTAGTTAATTGTTTGATCATTTTGGAGGCTGCAGTTTGTTGTACTGTTGAACTGTACCGCCCTATATTGACAGTATATTGTCCAACCCATTTTTACCAATGAGGGTTGGCTAAATAACAGAAACCCCTGTTTGTAACTGTGTAGTATTAGGTGTTCCTAATAAACTGGCCACTGGGTTTATCAATTGGCAAATGCATTACTAAAACATATTTAACTATTTAAAGTAATTTGAGGTAAGTCAAAGTCAAGTGTCAAGTCTTGGGCAAGATACCGAACCCCACTTTGCTCCTGATGTGCTATCAGTGTGTGAACTGGATTAGTTTCTGATGAGCAGTTGGCAGCTTAATGGCAGCCCTTGCCAATTAGTGTGTGCATGGTGAATGTGCTTTTAGTGATCGGAGGGGCACTCTATAAGTCCATTTAGCACTTTTTAATAGTGCTGTATTTGTGCTACTCAGCCTCACTGACACATCTTGCACTACATCGGATTATTAATTGGGAAGGATTTTCCTGTATCAGAATGACAAACCAGAGACACGGGTGAATATACTTGCATTGCTCTCTGTGTACAGAGCTGTAAAAGAACAGTGGAAACACACTGATATCTGTAAATAAACAAGTCCAGTAGCCTGCCTACAACATTCAGATTTAGCTGGATATGTGAGAGGAGCTTATCTGCACCAGTGTGGAGCTGGACGATGTTAAAGGCTGGAGAAGAATCTGTGAACAGACGCCTCAGTCTCTTTCTTGTTGATGGCTCTCATTCTTTTCCAAGTAAATCTCAGGATCTTCCAGTAGGCTCTGTCTATATCTTACTGTTATATTTTATCAATTTGTTTCATTTTATTTTTTGGGGTGACCTTACACACATAACACCCACAGTAGGTTCCTAAAAACTGTCATGGCTGTTATCCAGCAGCAAATTGCAAGTGCCTTGTAACCAGTATCTAAGTATCTAAATGATCATCAGTGCTACATTACCTTGATAATTAAAAGTCCTGTGCAGTTCCACTGTCTGATGGATTCACTGTACTTATCTACTTACATTTAAAAATCCAGCTCTGGTGTAAACTCAAAAATCTATGGAAGCCTATTCCACCAATGTGACAAACAAAAAGGTAACTTAAACTTTAAAGTTTGTCATTATAATGAGAAACTTTCTCAAAATATTGTCATAACATTTTAAAAACAATGACTTGAGTCACTTTTTTGAAAAGGTTTCAAATGTTTTTTTATCGTCACATTGGCGGAAATGGGCTTCCATAAAAAGCACTATAGTGAGGAAAACACAAAAGGCCATGAGGCTTACCATTAAACTTCTAATAATAGCCCGGGCGTTTATTTGCTTAAATCACTAAACTCCCCCTGCCTTTATCACAAAACTCTAACTATTTGACAACTAACATGACACATTTAGAGGTTTTTTCCTTCTCTCCTGTTGACCATGTTACCGGTAAGTCGGAATGAATTAACATTATACTTTATACTTTCAACAGTTGAATTGTGGAGAATCTATAACTGATCAATGATGTGCAGCATGTACATATT